GGGAACCAGCCAGTTCAAGGAGCAACGCCAGCCGACCAAAAGTCCGAGCAAGCCAAGGGCCAGGCAACCGTGCCAACATCCAGAGACACCTCATGGGCACAAGCCAGGGCACACAGTTCATGAGGCCGAGGCCCCAGGCGTGTTCGGCGAAGCATCAAGGTCCAGGCCTCATCGACCGCTGTGGGATCCAAGCCTGTGGCGCGACATCACCCCACAGACCAAGGTGGTGTCTCAGCAGCACGGACCTGCCAGGCCAGTCGGCATTGATGGGACCGCGGTCTCCAGGGCATCCTGATCGAGCACGGCAAGGACATGAAGCGAGGCTGCCCGAGGATGCCCGATAATGGCACCCTGGTTGCAGTCGCCTGGCGCCAAGAACAGGAGAGATACCGAACCCAGGCATCGCAGCACACAGCCCCACACACACCAACACAAGGAGGAGTGCCTGCTCGCTGAAGTCAGTGAGAGCACCTGCCGACAGGTCACATAAAAAAATGGGGCAAGCATGGCAAGCAAGCAACCCTTGGACTGCATGGGCACACCGTACCCCTTTTCGTCTGAGCCACGTGTAGCCGATGACCGAGCTACGATGCTGTGCTGCTGCAAAACCGGTGTCCGCTGCTGCTCAGGCAATGCTGTGATGATGGCCCGTCGATGCTGTGATGCTGTGTTCCGCTGCCTAGGTTATTGCTCTCATCGGGATCCCTGCCATCTCACTCCATCTTGTACTCCGATGGCGGCGGTGGCATACAATCGCAGGACTTCACGAGCACATTGTCCAGGGAAACGCTTCCAGAGCCTCAGTGTGCACTCCTGCTCAGCATCCATAGCACTCGCCTATACTCGAAGTAGCAACAATACGAGTCGGGTCACGGTCGATCTGGTCCTGAATCTGATTCCTGACCTTCTTTCTCTGCCTCTCGGAGAGTGCATTCCACCACTTCTCCGGAACGGCCACGCACATCTTCCCGACTTGGATGACTACCTGACCAGAATGGACCAAAGCAGCAATAATGAAACACATACCCAAGGCTAGAAACCCCTTGCGACGACAGTCCAATGCCTCTCCGTCCCGAGGACCCGGGGGATCAGCACCAGCACCGGACGCCGTGCCCACATCGCTATTGGATGCCGTGGCCATGTCGCTATTGGAGCTGGAATTACCGCACTGCTGGCACCAGAAGCTGCGGATATGATGTCATGTGATCATGCGATCCCCAAGAGCAGCTCCCAAAACACACGAAGCGAGGCACCTGCTGTCTGGACCACCGGAACATGCCCATCGCCCAGGCCCTGGCATCAAAGTGCAATGCACGACGACCAACCGAAACTAGGAGCACAAGCGATGCAATCTGGAAGAGATGTGCATGTGCCGGGTTAAATTCATGGGCCTCGACCTGCAGCTGATGATCATGTACTGCGCCAAGAGGTAAGTCCTCGGCCGTTTACGTAAGTCCTAGGCCCCAAATAAAGAAGCGATGCAAACCAAGGGCCAGGCAACCACATGTGTTGAGACCTGACCAGAGCAAGCAAAGGCAACCAGCAGAGGCCGCCACAAGTGATAGCCAGCCATAGCAGCAACGACCAAGTCCCCGGCCCGCCCAGGATCACCAGCCTGTCGGAGGAGGCCTTCAGGAGCATCAGCGACCTAAGCCAAGGAAGGGCGACAAGGCGGCAGCAAGACAAGGCGAAAGAGTTCAGACCAAGGCCCAAGCCGTCGCGATGGAAGGAGCAGCACGATCCTGACCAGAACACCAATGGCAAGGAACGAAGAGAGGGGGAAGGGGGGGTCCAGGCAGAGGGGCTTCGGCTTCGGGTGGCTTCGAGCAGGGACCTTGGTTGGCACTCCTACAGTGGGGGGGTTGGGTCCGGGTGCCCTGAATCCTTAAAGGGGTGAGGTGCTAGGGAAACCGGCTAGCCCGAAACTGCACGGCAACTCCTTTCTCATCACAACGGCATGAAGATGGGTGTGCTCGAGTTGCCCCCAATCCTGCTACACCCGGCCTATGCCTAGGCAGTGCGATCTACAACCCACGAACCCCACGAGCACACCGTGAAACTCACCCCTCGATCGGGCCCTTTTGGACCTGTCACCAGAACGGTGCAAAACTCGTGTGCGGCATGCGTGTGTGCTGGTTGCTCTGTGCTGGTTGCTGGTTGCTGTGTGCTGTGTGCTGTGGGCTGTGCGTTGTGTGTGTGTGTGTTGTTGCTTTGCTGGCTGTGCTGTGATGCTGCTGCGCTGTGCTGTGTTGCGCCTAGGCACTGACGATCACTCACGGGTCCCATCTCCAGAAACGCCTCGCTCTCTGTGCTGCTCGCTGTGCTGCTCGCCTTGCTCTGCCACGCTTGACCATCATGCTTCTGGCGAGGCGCCCGCACGACCTGAGCGCCACCCACATGTGGCGCTAAGCACTTCCAGCAATGCTCTCCTCGTGAGACTGCCGATGCCCTGTCGAGCGAAGGTGGATCTCAACTCGCTCCACCCGCCATGCCGTCCAGCGATCCTGATCATCCGGCCCTGACGTGGTGCAAGTCCTCCCGGCCTCGTTCAGCAAGTAGCCGAAGTTGTCCGACTCCCTGAACGACATGTCCATCTCCAGCTCGCCGTCTCGGAAGACCAGACAGTCTCCATGGAGAGCCGCCGCCCTCCTTATTGCAGCCTTCGCCTTCGCCATCGCTTTCTTGGCTTTCGGTGCCATCGCAGCCCAATACTAGCCAGGTAAGTGCTGGTTCTCCGCCCAACACACAAGCCAGGTATGTCAAAAAGCCAGCTGCCCAACACTAGCCAGGTAAGTGACGGTTCTCCGCCCAACCCTAGCCAGGTATGTCACCAGCCAGATGCCCAACACCAGCCAGGTAAGTGCTGGTTCTCCACCCAACACACAAGCAAGTCAACAGCCGGCTGCCCAACACTCGCCAGGAATTTGCTGGATCTCCGCCCAACCCTAGCCAGGTATGTCACCAGCCAGATGCCCAACACTAGCCAGGAATTTGCTGGATCTCCGCCCAACACACAAGCCAGGTAAGTCAACGGTCCAGACAAAAAACCATGCAGGCAAAGGCGAGCACGAAAGATCAGCACCTAAGACCTAGGCTGGCCTAGTTGATGCAGGTTCATTCTCAGACCTAACGGATCGATGGGCCATGGAGGAAGCACTAGCTGAATGTTTATCAGACATAAAGGATCGATCGGCAATGTTTTCATGACCCAAGAATTCGGTTCTCAGACCTTTAGGATCGATGGGCCGTGTTTTCAACGTGCAACATCTGTTCCCATGCAATGTCGGGGTCCATGGCATTGGGGCATGTGATTATCAGCTAAAGGATCCATGGGCCATGTTGTCATAGTTTGGCACCGAAACACGCTGAGCACTAGTCCGCAGCACTCACCAACTGATCCTGCACAGCACCGCACTCCAGCAATAAAAACAAATCCCGACAGCCCTACAAACCCAAACCCATCGAAACCCCCATCCGACGCCAGAAGAACAGGCCTGCGCCGCTTCCGCCGTGACGGATGGCTCCATAGGCTCGGCCTGGGAAGCAACACAGACGCGATTAACTTCGCTGCAGAACCAAGCAAACCAAGTCCCAACCCAAAGGACCCGGAACGCCACCCCGAGGCGAAAATGCACAAGGTCCCGACCGCCGCCGACGAAGACAAGTCTGCCTGGCAGGCAAAAGAACGGACAACACCATCCATCACGCCACCCAACCACTCGCCTGGGATGCCGATGCTCTCCTCGCTGCTTCTGCCTCCGAGGAGCAATGTAACAAGTGCGACTTTCAACGATTCCGAGGAACGCGGCCTCCAGCCATTGCTTCTCAGTCGGAGGAGCCTGCCAATGGGACAACTCAGTTTCATGATGCACGAGGCCTGACACTGGAACAGCAGGATGGTGCCTCATGCCCGTGCTCCTGAGCCCACTTGGCCGCCGCCTTCTGCGACCGGAAGCGCTCGAAGCCCAGCTCCCAAGAATCTCGGCTGATGTTCCTACGGATTCTTCGGGGATTGGGACAAGGGGAGTTGCAAAGCACCGGGGCAGAAGACCTGAAGCCGGCCAGGTCACAAATGGCCCTGCCCATTTGTGGCCCACTCATCCGGGTCGACGTCTGTCGCACGATCCATCGCTCCGTCATGTTTTGTCGGGCTGTGCTGCTTGCTTCTATTACCACCCAGTGCCGACATAATGGCTTAAAATCCCCCTATGCCCCCCTATGCCGACATGCTGGCTTACATAAGAAAATACTTATAGTACCACCCAGTGCCGACATACTTGCTTAAAATCCCCCTATGCCCCCTATGCCGACATACTGGCTTACATAAGCAAATACTTATAGTAGCAACCAGCCCCGACATACTGCTTACCTTCTGAAACTGTCTAAGTAGATCGACTGTCCTGTATGCATGAGGAATGCTGTTGAAGTGATTGTGTGCCAGCACTGTCTGAAGGCCTTCCCAGGACGAGGCTCAAAGGCAAAATGCCTACGGATGCACAGGCTCAAGCAGGCGCCCAAGACATGCAAGAAAGACAGTTCTATACTGCATACTGCATGACAGCACAAACTGTAGCTCCCTTTCTCTCTCTCTCTCTCTCTCTCTCTCTTTCTCTTACATTGTATCTATTAAGGATCGAGTATGATTTCCTCGAATTTCCTACCCCCCCCCCCCACACCCCCAAAACCAAGAGGAAGATCCGATCCTCGAATTTCGACTCCCCCCCCCGATCCTCCAATTTAAAGGGGGGGCTATCCCGCAACCATGCGCACATGGCATGCTACAGTGCTACAGAAGTCAAGTATACGAATAAGAGCCAAAAGGTTCCAGGAATGAAGCTTTGTAGGTCATGAACTCACTATGCCATCAGAAACGGAATCGTAGCATCTTGATATGTCAAACACTTATATACACCCGTCGGACCCTTGCGCTCATTGTAAGGAGCCTGCATAAGTGATATCCCCCAAACTTTTCGGAAACTCCCAGATCCCAGCCAAAGAGCTCCATCAGCTGTGGGAGGAGGCCTCGGATCGCATTTACTTGCGATTTCTGCAAAATCCCTCCACTGTCCTATGTTTTCAGGTTTGGAGTTTGGGGGGTACCTCAATACTAAGCCCAAAGACGTACTGGGGGACAGCAGTGCAATCCAGGGGCTATGCCTCTTCGAGGCAAGAGAGAGGGAGGTGTAGACTGAGTTGCTGAGGCTGAACTCAGGCTGTAGCAAAGCTACAAAGCCTACATGCTACAAATTCTGGCACACTACCAGCCATGAGCTACAGCTGGCGACGGAGACACCGTACACTCAAGGACTCAAGGGCCATGATCGAGCGTTTTGCCGCTTGAGCTTCAGGTTCAGCTCATGGGGATTGAGGCTTCACTCAAGCAAGTTGGCGGAACAACCATGGAGTGGTGTATCCGAGGGAATGAATCTCACCTCAACCGCCATCCAGCCTGGAAAGCGGGAACACAATCTAGAGGCCTCAAAATTTAGAATAAAGCGTTGAGGGCACATCCTGCTGTAACTACAGAAGGAGTAGAAGGTAATGTTATTAATTACGAGCAACTCCGACTCCCGACCCATCGATTGCTGCTGGACCGCAAACTGCTAATCAAGGAATCGGCGTGGAAGAAGACTGCTGCATGCACTGCGAAGCTGCGCGGATCTTAACCCTGAAGCTTGAGTCCGAAATGCTCTAGAACTTTAGGACTTAGGGCTACGCAAACAAGCCTCCTTGCAACAGCCAAGCTGCTCAGAAATTTGCTGTCAAATCCATGGAAGAGTGGCAGGGAAACAATAATCAGCTCCTCCGCGACCGCGCAACCGTCGGAAAAAGGTGACTTCGGCTGTTTCGATGTCTCCAAGAAGTTTTGAACAAACTCTGATGCAAACAAACAATTACTAGTACGATCAGCACAATGTTTGGCTACACGTATAAGAACAGCTGGCTATTTCTATCTCTGTTAAGAAGTATTCCTACTATTGTGTTGATCTTCTTCACTAGCTTCATTATATGATGATGAATCTGCTGTTGAATTTTTCTGCTCCTTACTATTACAATTATTATCTTTTCGGATGAGCAAGGCATCGGGCTGCCACGGCTACCCAACCTCCTTCCATTCTTGGAGCTCTTAGGGCTTCTTGGGTTTTGCCTGATAAACCCTAAACCCCTAAACTCTAAACCCCCTAAACTCTGAACCCCTAAACCTCTAAACCCCTAAAACCCTAAACACCTACACCCTAAACCCTAAACCCCTAAACCCCTAAACCCCTAAATGCCTAAACCCTAAACCCTAAACCCCTAAACCTTAAACCCTAAACTCTAAACCCAGAAACTCTAAACCCCAAAACCTCTAAACCCCTAAAACCCAAACCCCCTACACCCTAAACTCTAAACCCCTAAACCCTAAACCCCTAAACCTAAATCCCTAAACCCGAAACCCTTAAACCCTTAAACCCTTCAACCCCTAAGCCCTAAACCCCTAAACCCTAAACACCTACACCCTAAACTCTAAACCCTTAAAACCCAAACCCCTAGACCCCTAAACCCTAAACACCTACACCCTAAACTCTAAACCCTTAAAACCCAAACCCCTAGACCCTAAACCCCTAAACCCCAAACCCCTAAATAATCCCTAAACCCTTCAACCCCTAAGCCCTAAACCCTAAACCCCTAAACCCTAAACACCTACACCCTAAACTCTAAACCCTTAAAACCTAAACCCCTAGACCCCTGAACCCTAAACACCTACACCCTAAACCCTAAACCGCCTAAACCCTAAACCCTTAGACCCTTAAACCCTAAACCCCTAAACCCTTCAACCCCTAAGCCCTAAACCCTAAACCCCTAAACCCTAAACACCTACACCCTCAACTCTAAACCACTAAACCCCAAACCCCTGACCCCTAAACCCTAAACATCCCAAAACCCCTAAACCAAAAACCCTTCGACCCTACACCCCTAAACCCTAAACCCCTAAACTCTAAATCCCTAAACCCCTGAACCCCCAAACCCCTAAACCAAAAACCCC